TCTCTCTATCTTTCCCTCATCCCAACATGTCTCTCCTATCTTCCCAACTATTCCCACAACCTTCCTTCAATATCCGTACCCTCCTCTGTTCCTCCATTTCCCCCATCCTTCCATCCACAGCCCTCCACCATCTCTCATTCTTCCTTCCAGCCCCATGTCATTTTATTCATGTCCCATCCTGCCATCTGTCCCCATCCTTCCATCTGTCCCTCATCCTTCCTTCTATCCATCTCTCATCCTTTCTCCCACGACCTCCTGTCCAGCCATCTGACCATCATCCTTCCTTCCATCCATCCCCCATCCCAACCATCCATCCCCCATCCTTCCATTTATCTGTCCATCCTTTGATCTGCCCCCCATCTACCCTTCCATTCTTATCTTTCTTGCTGACTGTTGCATGCTCAGTGTCTGACACATGGTGGGGGGTTGACACTATTTGTTTAATAAATGAATGAAATGTGTCACCCCACTGTATGACAGCCACCCTCTTAGACACCAGCATAAAAATAGAGCCCTTGCGCCAAAGGACTGTGTGCTCTCGAAAGGAGGGCGACTGAGTAAACTTAATTTTAATAAAGTGTGATGATCACTCTCTACCATCAAGCTCCAGACCTGCAGCAATGGAGGTAAGCCAGGAGGTGCTGTTCCTACTCCCTTGGATAGGGGTTGATGAGGTAATCAGAGAAGGCTTCATGGAGGAGGGGTACTTGAGTGGGATATTGAAAGGCAAGCAGGAGTTCAGAGAGGGGGGAGATTCCAGGTAAACCACAGTGTTAGATTGAAAGCTCCCTGAGCTCCCAGAGGCAGCTGCTCCACAGACGTGGACTCAGCCCTGGCAGGGCACTGAATGCAGCAGAGCGCTGGGCAGGACCTTGACTGTCAAGCTCAGGAGTTTGGGCTTTGCCCTGAAGGAAGCCTGGAGCAGGTGGAAGGTCTTGAGCCGGGGAAAGACATGCTCAAATAAAGGTCACAGGCGAACAGAAATAGGCTGAGGGCTCATGAGGGCCTGGGGCCATCAGGGGGAGGGCAAGGAGGGCTTCAGGGAGGAAGTGTCGCAGGGTGGGAAGGGAGAAGAGGGATTCAGTGAAGGAGCCTAACGGGATAAATGGGACAATACTAGCGCCTTCCTCATAGGGCTGTTGTCAGAGTGAAAATGTAAATGCTAATGAATGAAAGCACCGGTAAACATTTCTGAGGCATGTGCTCTGTTCCAGGCACTGTTCCAGGCAGTTAAACTTCAAAACACCGCTATGTGATGTTGACATAGGCATTCCCATTTACAGGTGGGAAAACTGACTCATGAAGTAACTTGCCCGAGGTGAGCCTTGGCAGAGCCAGGATCTGAGCCCATGAAACTGGGTGAAGTATACGGAGCATTTAGCACTGCCCGATAGTTCAACTGATGTTCAAGAAAGAAGAAAAGGGAAGCTGGGGAGATGGCATCAAGGTGGGTGAGGGGGTTTCCCCTGGTGGAGTCAGGTTTGGTGAGATAAGTTCAACTTAGGGGGTGGTGGGCCTGAAGATGAGGTGCCCCGGGTGGGGATGTGGAATGGGAAGGTGCTCAGGGCCTGAGCCCTGGGGAGATGCCCAGCCTGGCCATGGCCCCGAGTCCTCTCCAGCTGCCCTGTGGCCTGGCTTCCAAGAGGAAGAAGGCCTGGAAGCGCTGCTCACCTTCTCTCCTGCGTGGATCTTGAACGACACACCCCGCACGGCCAGCGGGAGCTTGGGTCGGTGTCTCAGCCCCAAGTCCCGGAACTCGATCTGGCCCCCACAAGGCCAGGGGGGCTGGGTTTCACAGGTGGGCAGTGTCCAGGGTGCCTGGGGCAGAAGGGGACACTGAGTCAGAGGAGCCCTTCTTCCAGGCTTCTCACAAAAGGTCTACCTCTTTGAGCCTCAGTTTCCTCTTCTGTAAAATGGGTATGTTTACTGCTATTTTATAGGGATGTGGAACATAGCAAAGCTAAAAACAAATATCTGGTAGCATAAAAATGATGGCGCTGGCTATTCTTTATCTTTTTAAATTATTATTAGCCACTGTTAATTGTCAACTAATATTCTTTCTTCCTCTAGTAGGGTAGGTCCTCTTTTTTGCCTTTGTGAAGAGGGCAGGTCTGTGCAGCAGGGAGTCCAATGCTGCCATTGGTATCCCTGTGACCTTGAACAGGTCACTCCACCCTCTTAAGTCTCAGTTTCCCCATCTGTGAAATGGAGCTAATGAGAGCAGTGGGCGTGTATTGCTTGTTTATGTTGCGCCAGACCCTGCACTAAGTAAGCCCTTTATTGTGGGATCTCACTTGACCCTCCCAGTGTACCCAGCGTTGTTAGTGGCTCTGCGGCTCTTCTGTCCCTGTAATGTCGCTATCATGTGCCGTTACCTGGCGGTGGCATTCCTGTTCCTCCTGTCCCCTGTCACTCAGAAGAAGGACCTGCTTGCCCAGTCAAGGGAGCAAAGGACCCAGGATCTGACTTGGCTCCAGACCCCATGCTCTTAACCATTACCGGGGCCCTGGCTGGGACTCCGGCCTACACTGGTGGGGGCTCCAAAGCCCACGGCAGACGGCCACCTGGTCCACTGCCCTCTGCTGTAAGTCCCTCCACCCCCACGGCCCCCCACCTCCTTGGGTGTCTGAGTGTAGTCCTGCATCCGCTCCACCGACACGATGCTGCTCTCCAGGTCTGTCCAGCTGCGAACAGCCCACTGCAGTGTCTGGGTCACCTGGTGGGAGAAGACACCTCAGATTGGCTTGAGTAAAACCACCCCACAGGTTTGCATCAGCTCCCTGGAAGCAGGGGCTGGGAGGCAGGCCTCAGGCAGATAAGGGGACTGGACTTGACTGCAGCCTCCAGGACTCCCCTCTCCTTTCGGTAGAACCAGAGCATGCAGAGCGGAAAGGAGCCCTCAGACCTCAGCTTCTCCACCTTGTCTTGATACAGGTGGTGGGGAGACAGGACCAGAGAGGGTGCATGGCCTTCCCAGGGACACCCAGCAGGCCCCAGGCCCCGCTGACTTCTGTTCTGAGAGGTTTTCCTCCCCCGATTGCTCATCACACTTGGAACCATAGGCAGCTTCTCACCAGGGCCCACCCTCCTCTCTCCAAACTCATTTCCCTCCAATCTCACCCTCGCCCACACTCTCCGGCCATACCACCTGCTTGCTGTTCCTCTAGCACACCAGTCACGCCCCCCGCCCCCCTCCATCCCAGGGCCTTTCCTCCTGCTGGTCCCTTCCCCCAAAAAGCTCCCTCCCTTCCTCCCTCCCTCCCTTCCTTCCTTTGGGCCACAGCTCACAAGTCCCCTCCACAGAGAGGCCTTCTGGGCCAAGCAGTAGAGGAATACCCACCCACCAAGCTTTGACCTCTCACCTTGCTTTATGCTTACGCTTAGTTGCCTCAGTTGTAAAATGGGGATAATAATAGTACCCCTGATGGGGTCGGGGGCAGGATTAAATGAGTTAATGTTTATAAAGCTCTTAGAACAATGCCTCATTCATAATGAATGTTACTTACAAGTATATTTTTCCCTTCACAGATGTCATGACCTGACATCAAATATTGTTATTAATAGATAACAAAAAGTTAACAATGCACTGGGAATGCACTCTATATACTTTATCTCAACTAGTGGAGGGATTAATACCCCATTTTTCAGATGAGCTCACTGAGGCTCGGAGACGGAAGACTCTTGCTCAAGGTCCAGCAAGGTCACCTCAGCTAAGCTCTTGTAAGAGCCTTGTTTTCCTCACTGCTTGGTAGTTTGGACTTGGGTCCTTGAAGGTCCCCCTTACATGGATCTGTCTGTCTCTGTTCTGCCTGCTCCTTGGAATCAGGTTGGGGTGTCAGGAGTACCTGGAGGGCGGCGGAGACGGAGAAGCCCACGAGGCCAGCGCTGAGATGGGCCTTGCTCAGCACAGCGCACGTGGCAGCGGCAAACACCAGCCCGTTCCCCAGGAGCTCCAGGTTGGCAGCGAGCCACCTGAAAGGGGGTGCAGGTACAAGCAGGGTCAGCGGGGGCCCTCTCTGTGGGACCTGCTCCTCTGGGCACAAGGTCTGATCATGGTGCCGGCTTGAGTGCCCATGGGGGTCCTGACCACGGCATCCTCCATACCCAGGCCCTACCCAAGCTCAGTGGGTGGGGAATTGATGCTGTCTCACCTGTGCCCAGCCCAGGGCTCGGCGCACAGTAGGTGCTTTAGTTAAGCTTTGCCATGCTGCCAATATTCTGTGCTTGGGATATGCCAAGTCATATACCCTTGTGTTTTCCGGACTAAACCCAGTCTCCATGTTCACATGGCCACCATTTATGTTCATGCACAGGTCAGCTTGAACATCACCTCCTCAGAGAGCCTTCCAGGACTGCTCCTCCTTTTCTCTCCAACATAGCACTGATAACTTCCTTCATGACAGTCGTCATTCTTTATAATTTAACTACTTAATCAGTCCCTGACTCTCAGTCTCCACCAAGAGATCGGGAGCTCTGCGAAGGCAGTGGCTTGGTCTCCTTCATGCTCTGTCCCCAGTACTTAGCATAGGACCCAGCCCAGAGTAGGTGCTCGACAGATATATGCTGAATGGATGAATAAATGCACACCCCCTTTTATTGAATTCCTACTCTACCATTCATTCATTCATTCATTCATTCATTCATTAGCAGATGTGTATTGAGCACCTACTGTGTGCTACGCATATTGGAGGTGCTGGGGATACAACCATGAACCAAACAAATAAAAATCCCTGTCTTTAGGGAACTCTGGGCTTTCTACAT